CTGACAAATGTGTATACTATCGCTATGGTGGGGGAGAAGGGGTGATCTTGTGCTTGTATGTCGATGACATACTGATCTTTGGGACCAGCCTTAATGTGATTGAGGAGGTCAAAGACTATCTGTCCAAGAGTTTTGAAATGAAGGATTTGGGAGAGGCTGATGTTATTCTTAACATCAAACTTCAAAGAGGAGATGAGGGTGGGATTACACTTGTGCAATCCCACTATGTGGACAAGGTTTTGAGTCGCTTTGGATATAGTGACTGCAAGCCAGCTCCTACTCCTTATGATCCCAGCGTGCTATTAAGGAAAAACCGAAGAATAGCAAGGGATCAACTAAGATACTCTCAAATCATTGGTTCATTGATGTACTTGGCTAGCGCAACGAGGCCTGACATCTCATTTGCTGTAAGCAAGCTGAGCCGGTTTGTCTCAAATCCGGGAGATGATCATTGGCAGGCTCTGGAAAGAGTAATGCGCTATCTAAAGGGCACTATGAGCTATGGAATTCACTATACCGGGTATCCAAAAGTACTAGAAGGGTATGGTGACTCAAACTGGATATCTGATGCTGATGAGATAAAAGCCACAAGTGGATATGTGTTCACACTTGGAGGTGGCGCTGTTTCCTGGAAGTCTTGCAAGCAGACCATCTTAACAAGGTCAACAATGGAAGCAGAACTTACAGCACTAGATACTGCGACAGTTGAGGCCGAGTGGCTTCGTGAACTCCTGATGGATTTGCCGGTGGTTGAAAAACCAGTGCCAGCTATCCTAATGAACTGCGATAATCAAACAGTGATTATTAAAGTGAACAGTTCAAAGGACAACATGAAGTCATCTAGACACATCAAGAGAAGACTGAAATCTGTCAGAAAGCAGAAAAACTCCGGAGTGATAGCATTGGACTATGTCCAAACGGCTAGAAATCTGGCAGATCAGTTTACCAAGGGGCTACCACGTAATGTGATAGACAGTGCATCGAGGGAAATGGGCTTGATACCCACCTAAGGTTGCATAATAGTGGAAACCTGTCCATTGTGATCGGAGATCCCGTGAATTTGGATGGTGAAACAAACTATTGTGTGACTGAGAGAAGAGACCCTTGAAAAGGGCTCATTTTCATGATGTGCTTCCCTTCTTTCCTACATGGTAGGATGGCTTATGTCTTAATGTGATCCGAGTGGCTTTTCCAAGCAGAGATGTTGACCTGCAGAACATCTCAGAAGGAACACACCTATATGAGTTCGACTGCTAGTCACAGTCTATGAGGTTTGGGCAATCTCTAGATACTCATGAAAGGCCTGGAGTTTGACTTATATGCTCCAAACAGAGGGGATGCGAACGGCAGCCCAGTACCAGTCAAGGTTCTGAGTGAAACCTGATCACACAAAACTTACAATTCAAGGCATAGTCCATTGTTCAGTTGTGGTCTGATGTAGCTCATTTCCTAGGTGGAAGTTCAACTTAACAGTCTCCACCAAAACCCTGATATATCAAACAGGCACAACATTGAGAACATTTCTTATGAGCCTTGAAATTTGGTGGGGATTGTTAGAATAATTGGGCTAGGCCCAATTTATAATATTAAATCTCAAAGGCCCATAATAAATGTTGAGGATAATAATACCACCTCAGGATTTAAGCGAGAAATATCTCAACCTAAATAGGGAGTTATTGGAGGCTCCCTGTTGACCAGTTGAGGTGGGGGTCGGAATGCCACACGCGCGCGCGCGCGCGCCGGGCCGGGCCGTGGGCGAGGGTGGCTGGCTGGCTGGCGGCGTGCGTGCGTCACGTCGCTATCCTTTTGCAGCCACTAACCCACGTTCCCACGATTCCCTCTGCAACAGCGCGTCCACGTTCTTTCTCCTGATAGATAAGGAGGCCGCGAGTCCGATCCGACTTCTTCGCTTCTTTCCCGGTGTTAGTTTCTCCTTCTCCGCGCCTGAGTTGCTCTCGCTTCCCCGCTTCTGATCTCTTGCGCGCACGAGAGATTGGAAGAAGCAGTGCCTCCGAAACCACACCTTTGCCTGAGATCTGCACCGGGTAGGCGGGTGATCAGGTTTTTGGGGAGTGCCTCCTGCACGACTGCTCATCGCCATGTCTGGAGTTGCTGCCGCCGCTACTGGCCCGCCGACAGGAGCTGGTGGTACGCCGCCGCCGACAGGAGCTGGATCCGGAGCTGGTGCGCCAGGAGGAGGTGCCGTGAACGACTACAACAACGGAGGCAATTCTGCCTCACCATCCAGCGGAGGGCCATTCTCGGGGTATAATCTTCTCCTCCTGCTACTGCTGTTAGCGCTATTCCTGTTCCTGTTCCCATTGTTAGCGCTATACTATGTGCGCTATGTTCTTGTTCATGTTCTACATGATGCCTCTAGCATGTTATCGCGTTACTGGTATGTTCCTGTTTCTGACATTTATGATGCGCATAGTATGCTACTGGTTATGTTAAGATCACCCTACTCTGCTTATGCCATGATCATTGTTTTAATTTCTTGGATTAAAATATGCCGAATAATGACTATATTTCCAACATTTATGTCATTTACATATGTTATGTTTGAAGTGTATTTTGCCCATTACTCAGAGGCTTTTTCTGCAAAACTAGCTGTTCTATCAGCTTTCCCCCTTTGGGGGATGTAACTCATGTACTTCATCCTTAATCAATAAAACACATATGTTTTTTTCTATCAAAAATGAGACATACTAATATCATGCATAAACTGTCCCTCTTGGTTAGTTGTTAAGAAAAATCGGTGTAAGGGCTCATTCGGTTATCCATAGCAATAAGGAAAATGGAGAAATAAGAATGCACACACACTTTAATTCATAAGAATTTTCCAGGGGATTGAGTGGATGAAAAATCTCCTATGTTTTCTCTCTATAACTTTTAGGAAAGGAAATTTCCTTTGATTATTCTATACTTACATTCTTACGAACCAAATGATACTTATAGAAATTAATCCTTAGAAATCTAAATCCTTTGTTTTTCTTCCAAATCAAATATACCCTAAATTTTTGTTTGCATCCTATGACTTTAGTCAAATTTCAGGTGTTATCTCAATATATTTTACTTTATTTGTTTGTGCAAATTTCTAAAAAAAACAACTGCAACTATTTAGTAGGATTTAGATAAATAAATAGATATTATGGTCAATTCAAGTTTCAGATTATATTATCTATTATTTTGTATTTATTGCAGTGTACATTATATTCCAAATTTAATTGTATGATTATGAATCTTTTTAGAAAGAATTTATATACACCAGCTATATTAGTTGTTTACCATTTTTGGTTGAGATAACATTAGGTCTATTTAGTATGTAGGGACGGTTTGCTCGTAAGGCCTTCCCAGGAAACAACATGAGAGAATACAAACCCTTCTGATTTACCAAACAAAAAATACGAAGGCCACCCAACCAGAGGCGTATAAAGGCCAACTTGTGAAAACCTTGTTTCGAAAAGCCCAGGAGTTTCAAGAACAAATAAAAAGGGCCTTTTTATCCATAGTTGGACTGTAATATTGATCTGCTGGCCCATTAGTTTTCCTGTTCATAACCAACGAGTAATTCTTCCTTTTTTTTCTCAGAGAAGAGTCGAATAATTCTTTTAACGAGTGGGCATGGCCTATTTGTCACTGTTGATTGCATATCCAACGAATACATGAAGCGACAGAAAATTCCAATGAATTCAGGCGATTAAATTCAAGATAGTCCCATTCTTTAACTTTTGTGGTGAATTAATTTATCTAGGCTTGTGGCAAAGCACGCAAGTTGCAGGCAACATATATAAGACTGAATGAATGTATGCTCTTTTGTTTCTTTCTCCATGTTTTAATACAGAATTTTATAAACTTTTAAATGTCAGGTTTTAATATGATGTTTAACTATTCGTCTTGTTTAAAAATTTAGTGTGAATATGAAAAATATAATTCATCACTAAAATTTCCTTAATGATAAATCAAGTCACAACAAAATAAAATGAATTTACATAATTTACGTCAAAAGTCAACAGTGCCATACTATAATTAAAATAAAATGACTAAGACAATAAACATATATTGAAAGTTTAATACTCAGTAATGTACGATTGTTGACCATATTCGGAGTTTGTGCCTGTTTAATAAAACATTCCATTGAAATCATCGTAAACTATTTAGTTTCATTTTCAAGAAATAAAATTAATTTAGTATGTTATTAATTTTACTATGAAATTTAAAATTAATAGTCAGCAAGTAGCAACTCAGGGGAATCTTTTTTCATCTGTGCCAATCGAATTACTGAAAAATAACCGACATATTTAGCATAGTAGCATGTTTGTACTTTGTGATGGGTTAGGCATATAATTAGGGTTGAGGTAAGAAGCTGTTGATTGAGGATAAAGCATTGGATGTGGTGATGTGTGAATAAGGTGAGTGCTAGGAAGGGACGTAAGGAGGACGACTCTGCTTTTAAGATAGTAGAGATTATTAGAAATTTATATTCTACAGAATTAGTAATAATAGCCCAAACAAGACATATGTTGGGAACAAATAAGAACAATACATAATAGTGAAACGGTACACGTACTTTGAGCCATATCTCTGTAAATTATACTCGCCATTGACTTTTTTCTCACATGTTTGACCATTTGTCTTATTTAAAAAATTTACGTAATTATAATTTATTTTTCTTTGAGTTGTTTTATCACTCATAGTACTTTAAGTGTGATTTATATCATATACATTCGCATAAAATTTTTGAATAAGACGAATAGTCAAACATGTGAGAAAAAGTCAATGGCGTCATCTATTAAAAAACGGAGGCAGTATTATGATCTCTTTGATTGATATGGGGTCATGTATACTACGAGCTTCAATATATATTTTTGCATATATCTCCTTTTTTGGAAACACTTCACATATAGTTGCTCTTAATAGTTAACAATAATTTAGTTTGGAACTTTCACTGTGTCATGCATAGTGCAGGACATACATATCAAGATAACAAGTAGGAGTACCTTTCTAGCTGTGGAGCTAAGGGAGCTTGCATCACTACCATGGTTCGGCTCTGTCAAGGCCTGAAATACACAACACCAGATAAATAAATTTTTACTAATTACGAGTTTGAGAGAATATATCAAATTTGATCGAAAGCTAAGAGATTGTATTTTTCGCTTACATATACGCAAACTTTATGCATTTTGCTCAATGACCGCAAATACTTCTCCTTCTGGGCTTCCGACCCGAGTTGTGCTGTTCACCATATGGATCAATGAATCGATATACGTGTTAGCATTAGCACTGATGACTTCTTTTCTTTTTATTTTTTTAGAACAGCACTGCTAACTTCAATAGAGAATTGTAGTCAAGTCACGATAGGACCACCAAAATGTTGTATTTGTTCTACGAATTTGCTCTAATTGTATTACATATCCAGTGCAAATTAAAGCATATATCAAGTAATAATTATAAATGAAACATTAATTAGATCTCTTGTCCCTAATTGTAGCATTCCATATTCCATTCTCATTTTTATTTGGAGCTTCAATCCTTGATGAGCCTAGCTAGTTTGGTCGTGTGTTCTCATAATAGAACAGAGAGGAAATTATCCTTTTGCAAAAAAATAATAATAAATAAATAAATAAAGAAGAGTACAGCAGATACTGTAGACTAGATAATCTCACTTTGTTAGTACAACGGGCCCAGTTAATAGACATAATAAGAAATTTAAGCAAAAAAAATTCAAAGGACACTGTGGAAATTAGGTCCCCTGGTATAATCTTAACGAAATTTAAGCCCAACTCACTTATATATATCACACACATAGCGGACAGAGTATATATGATCGATCAGTCCATGTTCAAATGAAGTAGTACATACCAATGCTAAGCATTGCGAGGCATGACTGAACCAGGAAGAATGAGGCAATGCTTGCATCCACACGAGCGATCTCTAGAAAACACATGGCGTGAGCTGTCCCAGAAAGTCCAGGACATCCATAGCCCTGAAAAAAACATATGAATGGAAAGTGACAACGCTTACACTTAATTTAAACTAATCATTCTGAACGAACAAGCTAGCTAGCTGACTTGTATAATACCTATTACTCGGAGAACGTATAAACCTTTTCCCTATTACTCGGTGAATCTTTATAGGAGTAATAGAAATATATATATAACTTTTACTGAAAACTTGATATTCTACAGACATGCGCGGAAATATTTAGTAAATTCAGGCTATGCATTTGCATCCACAGAGAACAGCATGGTTATCTACAACATTAATGTGGCTCCTCTGATAAAAAGTAACAAATACACGCTGTGTGTTCTGGAAACTGACAATATTGGTTAGAAGTTTGTGCCATTTGCTATGTAGTATACTACATGACTTGAGAAGAATATATATGTTGATATCTAAATATTTATCAATAACAACTTCAACTTAAAAGAATAGCTAGAAACTTAATTTGGAGGTTTGTTCCGGTTTTCTATATTCCATTTTGAGGCTAAGAATTTTCAAAAGATATTTTAAATTAATTTAGTAAACACATATTTTCGTTAGGTATTTTGACCATTACAGTTAGGAAAATTCTTCAAAATATTATCTCTATTTTTATTCAATCTATGTCAATTTCCTCATCATATCTACGAAACAAATTTATTATGATTGTAAAAACAATTGTTTCGCTTTAAACACTACTTTTTATTCTCGCTTCATAATATTTCTTCCATAACATGATTAGCTGAGTTGTAAATACTTCAAATTGCAAGTGAGAATATTTTACTAGACGAATTATTAATTCTCTAATTTCTAGAACTAAAAGATATAATTCAGCCCTGGGCAACATCCCTGCATTTGAAGTTTTGATGGACCACGGGTTGAAAATATGTTGAACTCAAAATATTTATCAATGACTAAAACGCCAACTTAAAACAATAACTAGAGTGCTAAATTCAAAGTTCATTCAGGTTTTAAATTTTTCATTTTGAGGCTAAGAATTTTCAAATATAAAATGAAGTAATTTAGTAATTTAAACACTTATTTTCCTTAGGCATGGTATTTCAATAATAAAAATTAGAAAAAAAATCTTCAAAAAATTTCTTTGCTTTTATTGAGCATATATCAATTTTTTCATCAATGAAAAAGTTTAATGGGATTGTTAAGAAAACATTTTTCACTACATTTCATAGTGCTCGTTTTATATTATTTCCTCCATAACATGTTTAGCCTAGTTATAAATATTTCGAGGTGCAAGTGAGTTATTATTTTACCAAAGGAATTAGTCATTCTCTATGTTTTAGAATTAAAAAAAACTATTTCATCCTTGGAAAACATCTCCACATTTGAAATATTGATTGATGACCGGTTGAAACATGAATGGTTTGAAGGTGAGAGTTAAAACCAAGGGTTTTCATTTACAGCACACCAAGATTATTAGTTTGTTCATTCCATACTGATCCAACGGTTGATATTATACTATTACCTCCTTTGAGGTAATACGTCTTGAAGAAGAGAATAAATGATGTCTTGCACTTGCTATTTATAAGAATTCATGGTCACACATCAGACAAATGATTAGTGTAATATCTCACATCCATATTCCGAAATTCAGTTTCCATACAGCTGTTATTTCTGTTTTGAAAATCCTATTTATCTAAATCGATTATTAATGCAGTCATCATGTAAAGTATTACTAATCAATTAGATCTCTTATGAAATAAGCGTACCAAACGTTCAAGTCTTTAAATTTAAACAACTTTGATTACTGTCCTGATTTTCAAAATCCAAAGGTTTTGAAATTACGTTTGCTTTTTTTTTTCATGCAGACAGTTTATTTTCCACACTTCTATGGATTTTATATGACGGACATGGTCTGTTGCTTACTTGTGTTGTCATTTTGTTGGAATGTTGCATCATGGCTAAGCTTGAAAAGTCTTGTAATGTGTATTAATCAGTCTCTTCTGTCATTTATTGATTTAGAGCAGCAAATATATTTTTCAGCAAAAAAGATAAATCGAAATTATCAAGTGCCAAATTTACAAAATCTCTTACCAGTCATAAGCTATTTTTCAGAGTTATTAATTAGGTAGAATTTTACTGGAACAAATTACTCTATACTAGAAAATAGTATGTCAGTTGATACATTGGCTTATTTTAGCCCCTGTATATCATAAACTAGAGACAACTCTCCTACTATACTTTAATTCTCCAAATCTAGAGTGTTTTGTATGGTCTAATGACAATTCTTTTCTCAATTACCTTCTTCTCTTTTATATCTCAAGTTTGGCTGAGCGGACGAGGAAGTGGGAGGAGGAGAAGAGGCAGGAGCGCCGTGAGGGCAAGGCCCCGGCGGCTCCCGCCGGCAACCGGCGAGGTGAGGCCAAGCAGAAGGCCACCGCCGAGGACATCGACGATGGCGACGAGGACTTGGGGTTCCAGGAGCCTGAGGCCACCGTCGCCACCGTCGATGGGGGAGCGTGCGCTCACGCTTCTCGCTGGAGCCTCAAGGCCATGAAGCGCGAGCTTCTGGCCGCGGCCCCTACCCATGAGGCGACGCGGCGGGCGCGGTGGTCGGAGGTTGCCCTCACCTTCGACCAGACCGACCACCCGCCGTGCGTTGCCCGGGGAGGACAGATCGCGATGGTGGTTTCCCCCACCGTTTGCAATGTGAAGTTGGGGCGTGTCCTCATAGACGGGGGTGCAGCCCTCAACATCCTTTCCCCCGTAGCCTTTGACGCCATCAAGGCCCTGGGGATGGTGCTCCGGCCGTCCCAGCCGATCATCGGTGTGACGCTGGGGCACACCTGGCCGCTGGGTCATATCGACCTCCCGGTCACCTTCGGTGGTTCCGCCAACTTCCGCACGGAGCGGGTGGACTTCGATGTGGCGGACCTCAGTCTGCCCTACAACGCGGTCCTGGGGAGGCCCGCGTTGGTGAAGTTCATGGCGGCGGTCCACTACGCCTATCTCCAGATGAAGATGCCGGGCCCCGGTGGCCCCATCACCGTCCATGGCGACCTCAAAGTTGCGCTTGCTTGTATGGAGCAGCACGCGGACCACCTCGCCGCGGCGTCCAAGCCCGCGGGTGGCGACGAGAGGCTCAGCGCCTCCGTCCCGGCCGCCCCGAGGCAGCGGATGGTCACGTGCGACGAGGTCCCGGTCAAGGAGGTTGCCCTGGGCGACGGCCCGTCCAAGACCACACGAATCGGTGGTCTTCTGGACGACAAATAGGAAGACGCGCTCGTCTCCTTCCTGCGGGCAAACGCCGACGTCTTCGCCTGAAGACCGGCGGACATGCCCGGGGTCCCCAGGGAGGTGATTGAGCACCGTCTCGCCGTGCGGCCGGGCGCAAGGCCGGTCCGGCAGAAAGTGCGGCGGCAGGCCCTGGAACGTCAAGCCTTCATCCGCGAGGAGGTGGCGCGACTTCTGGAGGCCGGATTCATCCGTGAGGTCATCCATCCGGAGTGGCTGGCGAACCCGGTCGTCGTTCCCAAGGCGAACGGCAAGCTTCGGATGTGCATCGACTACACCGACCTTAACAAGGCATGTCCTAAGGACCCTTACCCCCTGCCACGCATAGATCAGATTGTCGACTCCACCGCGGGGTGCGACCTTTTGTGTTTTCTAGATGCATCCTCTGGTTATCATCAGATTCGCATGGCTAGGGAGGATGAGGAAAAAACTGCATTCATTACCCCCATAGGAACTTATTGTTATACGACAATGCCTTTCGGGTTAAAGAATGCAGGTCCTACTTTTCAACGTACTACTCGAATTTCTTTGGGTAGCCAGATAGGACGCAATGTTGAGGCCTATGTTGATGACTTGGTTGTGAAGACGCGCAACCAAGAGACCTTACTCTTGGATCTAGCGGAAACTTTCGAAAGTCTCCGCTCCGCCCGCATAAAGCTAAACCCCGATAAGTGCGTGTTCGGCGTGCCTGCGGGCAAGCTTCTCGGGTTCTTGGTCTCTGCCCGAGGCATCGAGGCCAACCCCGAGAAGATACGAGCTATAGAGCGGATGCGCCCCCCCAGCAAGCTTAGGGATGTGCAGTGCGTCACCGGCTACATGGCCGCCCTAAGTCGGTTCATATCGAGGCTGGGAGAGAAGGCACTACCCCTATTTAAGCTCCTCAAACGCTCCGGGCCGTTTACCTGGACGGAGGAGGCTAAGCGGGCCTTCACTCAGTTGAAGGCGTACCTCAGTTCTCCCCCGGTCCTGGTCGCCCCGGAGCCAGATGAGCCGTTGCTACTCTACCTGGCGGCAACCCCGCAGGTGGTCAGCGCGGCGTTGGTCGTGGAGCGCGACGAGGACAACCCTCACTCTGCGCATCCCCACCCTGTGTCGACTCGACCCAGGAGAGAGCAGGGAGGAGAGGCCCTCGAGCCGAACGGCGGCCCAAGGCCCCCGACGGCCGGAGCTGGCCCTCCGCCTGCTTGTCCGACGGTGCCAGGCGCCCCCGACCCCCAGGATGGCCTCGGGGCCACTGCGGGAAGGCCGCGCCTGTCGCCCTCTGACCCCGAGGTCGTCGGCACAGAAGCCGAGTGCGCCCCGCGTGGCCTCTCGGACGAAGAGCGCCCTGGAGATACAACCCCTGGCGAAGAGGATCGGCCCCGCCGAAAGGTGCAGCGGCCCGTCTACTTCATTAGCGAGGCCCTCCGGGACGCCAAGACCCGATACCCTCAGGCCCAGAAGATGCTTTACGCTATTCTGATGGCTTCGAGGAAGTTGCGCCATTATTTCCAGGCGCATCGGGTCACGGTGGTTACGTCTTACCCCCTCGGCCAAATCTTGCATAACCGAGAGGGTACTGGACGGGTGGTGAGATGGGCAATCGAACTCTCTGAATTCGATTTGCGCTTTGAACCACGCCACGCGATCAAGAGCCAGGCCCTCGCCGACTTTGTGGCGGAGTGGACCCCAGCTCCCGAGCCCGTCTCTGCCCCCGAGGCCAGCTCGGGCCCTTCGCACCTGCCTCACACCGCCTACTGGGTGATGCAGTTC